ATCCTTTTTTATATTTGTTTTTCTATCTTAGTAGTGTTGAGAGATTTATCTTCTAGCTCACTAGTTCTAGCTTCTATCTCTTCAATTCTACTCCTTTGCCCTTTTAGTGTATTGTCCATTTCTGGTATTCTATTATTAATCATTTGCACCTCTTTCTGTAGGTTTTGAATTATTTCCAATGCTCTATCTATCTTATTTGATTGTTCCTGTAGCACTTTCCTGACTTCTTCCTTATTTTTTCAACGGCATTGTATAGTGTTTTGATACCTTTTATAATCATTTTTAGGAATTCTTCTCAGGCATTTCCAAAGCCTGCCCATCTTCTGGTATGGAGTATAGGTCTACTTCCAGCTCATTTGCCTCAGTCACTTTATCTCGTTTCTGGACATGTGCAGATATGGTTATTTGCTTCTGTTTTTTGGGCATCTTCAGGTGTTATCTGTGGACTTCATACTTAGATGGGTGTGTATTTTGGTATTTTTTATGCTTTCTGAATGCCTCCAGGTAGATGTGATCAGGAAATGGCCTTCCCTTTTCACTCTTCTTCCTGAGAAGTTTCAAGATACCACTGTTGGTCCTTTTGACGTAACTTAGGATTTAGTTTTCGGCCTATTTCCTCTTTTGTAATTGTCTTTAAATTTCGAGGAGATCTGTGTGCATGTGTAGTAGAACCCTCCAAGGGTGGGGCTGGGGTGCCCACTAGCTCAGGCATCCCTATAGTCACCAGAATGGAGGCGTGCAGATAGCAAGGGACCAATGAACAGCTACCAAAAGAAAAGAATGTCCACACCTTTATCTCAGCGGTTCTGCTAGGTGTCTGTGGCCGCTCTGCTCCTTCCCCCGTGTGGTCTCACCCAAAATGGCGTCTCCTGGAGCAGCCTAGCGTCCTGAACTAGAAAGCAATGGATTTCTGGCTTCTGCCACAAATTCCCCAAGCTGTAAGCCTTCCAACCTTCTAAATATTCCTTTATATGTGGTTCAGAGTTCTGGGACCGGCCCCTGAGCCTGCTTGGTCGGGTATTTTGTGTTGTTGCTGGCGGAGCGCCTTTACTACACTACCACCTGATCCACCATCTTGTTTGTTCTAATACCATTTATTGATTGTTCACTATGTAGAAGGTACTGTGATTCTCAAACATGTATTTTACCTATTTTGACATATTTTAAACATAATAGACAGGTATAGAGAATAAATAAGGAGCCCTGATGGAACAGTGATCAAGTGTTTAGCTACCTGAAAGACTGACAGTGTGAACCTACTCAGAACTTCATAGGAGAAAGACCTGGGCATCTGTTCCTGTAAAGATTACAGTCAAGAAAACCCCCTGGGGAGCTCTACTCTGACATGGGTCACTGTGAATTGGAATCAACTCAAAGGCACCCAGCAACAACAAAATAATATAAATATATTTAAGCATCAAAGACTACAGCCTTCAGTATGGATTATATCTTAATGTAAAGAAAGCAAAAAATCCTCAAAACTGGACCAATGAATAACATCAGTAAACTGAGAAAAGCTTGACGTGATCAAGGATTTCCTTTTATTTGAATCCACAACCACCTCATATCCACACAAAAGCTGGACAATGAATAAAGAAGATTGAATTTGAATTATAGTGTTAGCGAAGTATATTGAATATACCATGTTCTGCCAGAAGAACAAATAAATCTGTCTTGGAAGAAGTATATCCAGAATGCCTCTTAAAAGCAAGGAAAGTGAGACTGTATCTCAGGTACGTTAGTCGTGTTATTAGGAGGGACCAGTACCTGGAAAAGAACATCATACTTAGTAAAATAGGTTTGCAGGGGGATAGGATATCTTGACATTGTCTTTAATGTGCTCTTAATTATTTGTGCAGAGATGCCTAGGAGGCAGTTGGATTTCTGTTTTGCCTCTTGCTTAACTCTTCAGTGACTCCTTTTTTTTTTTTTAAATATAAAGACAAAACTTTATTAGTGGCTACCAGGGGCTCACTGTGAAGACGAAATGGGATACAATTACTTAAGGGGTGCTGAGTTTCTGTTTAGAGGAATGAAAAACATTGGAAAATGGATAGTAATTATATAATGGTTACACAAAATGGTGAATGTAATTAATGTTCAGCGACTCACCTTTAAGTCACCATTATTTAATGTGTTTCAGGTTTTTTGCTACTCTCTGTTATCTGCTGCCTCCCCTCTCCCTCCCTGTCTGCTCCAACCAAGTAGTAGTTGAACTCTTTAAAAGAAAAAAAGGAAACTGTATCGAACATAAGAAGAGTCTTAGGTATCTATTGCTACTTAGTTGTTCTTATGATGAACCTGTAGATAGACTTATAGGCAGTCATTCGAACTGAACAAGGAGATACTGAGTGATTTAAAACCAGGAAAGGTGTGCATTAGGGTTGTACATCATACTTAATCTGTATGATGAGCAAATAATCCAAGAAGCTGGAGTCTATGAAGAACACATCATGGAGTCTATGAAGAATATATTGAAGGAAGACTCATTAACAACCTGCAGCATACAGATGACATAACCTTGCTTGCTGAAAGTGAAGAGGACTTCAAGCATTTATTGATGACAATTAGAGTATAGTCTTCAGTATGGATTACACTTCAACATAAAGAATATAGAAATTCTCACAATTGAATCAGCAGTGAACAATGAACATCACAATAAATGGAGAAAATATTGAAGCTGTCAGTGATTTTACTTTACTTGAATTAACAATCAATGTCCATGAAGCAACAGTCAGGAAATCAATCAGTGTATTGCATTGGACAAATCTGCTTCAAAAGATCTCTTTGAAGTGTTAGAAAGCAAAGATGTCACTTTGAAGACAAAGGTGTTCCTGCCCCAAGCCATGATATTTCAGTTACCAAAAGGTGATGGAATATTTTTAGAAACTTTTCAAATCCCCTTGTTTGCATGTGAAAGCTGGACAATGACTAAGGAAGACTAAAGAATCGATGCTTTTGAATTATGGTGTTGGCAAAGAATATTGACTATACCATGTACTGCCAGAAAGAATGAACAAATCTGTGTTGAAAGTACAGTAGAAGCAAAGATAGCAAGATGTCATCTCAAATATTTTACACATATCAAGGGGAACCAGCCCCTGGAGAAGGATGTCATGTTTGGTAAAGTAGGTGGTGGTGGTGGTTGTGTGCCAACAAGTTGGTTCCAACTCATAGCAATCCTGTATAGGGTTTCCAGGCTGTAAATCGTTATGGAAGCAGGAAACCTTCTCTTTCACCCGTGGTATGACTGTTAGATTTGAACTAATGACCTTGCTTGATAAAAGTAGAGGATCATGGAAAAAGAGTACAACGCTCTGTGAGATGGATTGACACAGTGCCCTATGTACCCTTCTCCATCTCATCCTTAACCTTTCCCTGTAGGTAACTGTATTAATTATTATTGTGTTTTTATGGTTTTACTTTATGGGTTTTCTCCTTCAACATCATTTTACCCCCTTTCTTTTTCTCTCTGCTCTCTTAAATGTCACTTTCTTGTGTAGGTTTTCTTTGACAGTCACAGTGTAAGTTTGCAATGTGTGTTTTTTCTATGTGCTTCAGTACTCATCAGCACCTATTATCCTACAATGAATTGTTCTTCAGTGCCATCAAGTCAGTTTTGATTCATAGTGACCCTGTATAGGGTCTCTGAGGAGCGTCTGGTGAATTTAAACTGCTGACCTTGAGGTTCAAACAGATCTTGCGGTCCAGTGCATTATCCCACAGCGCCATATTACATTGAATTAACTTGTGTAATTTGTCCTTCACCCCAGAGAACTATGTTTGCCAGTGTAGCTTAGTACTTGGCATATAGAAAATATTCAGTATATAATTGAGTTGAAATAGTTTCCTTTCACTCTTAGCAGATGACTTCAATTTCAAGTTCTTTCCTTTCCATGTTAACTGTCTTTCTGATACTCAGTTTAAGCTGAATTCACATGTCCGCTATCAAACCCTAATTTGACAGAGATGGTTACCAAATAGGATTCTGTCTGCTGAGTTCGTTTTCCTCTGGATTATTATTTATTGTTGAATTTAAGATTTTGGTCTATATGTAGTCTTTATTTAATGTCTAATATTTGGGAATTGAGCAAGGATTGTTGGCAATTTAATTTGTTTAGAAACTTTATTTTCCTCTTGTTGACTTGCCTCCCATTTTTCTTAATTCTTCTAGCCTGAGATATTCTTTGATGTAGTCAGCCTCTCAACATGGCAAGAAGTGCTAAGTGACTGTCAACGTGAATACCTCCAGCAGTTCCTGCCTCATTTTCCTGAGGACAATATTGAGCAGCAAAGCCAGATTATCCTATCCCTGTTCAGTGGGGAGAACTTCCGCTTTGGGAACCCTCTGCATATTGCACAGAAGCTTTTCCGAGGTCTGTAGCTCAGCATTCTTTTTTTTTTTAAAGCTTTTATTGTGATTTGAGTGATAGTTTCCACAGCAGAACATTGGTTTTGCACTCAACCAATTGTATTTTGTTTCATTGCAATGATTATAATCTCTTCCATGCACCATTGTTTAACAATATTTGCCTCTATGCCTCTGTTCCTTCTTTTTTTTTTAATGTATCAACATTTTTTGGAGGGAGGTGGTGGAGGGTATGGGAAACTATCAACAATGTGTATGCTCTTCTGCATTTTATCTATTTCTTTTTTTTTTTTTAATTTAATGTAATTTTATTGATTTGAAGAGTTTAAAAAATTTTTAATACAATTTTATTGATTTATGTGCAAGAAAAATATATAGGTAATAAGTGAATTGTACCATGGTTTTTAATACAAACTCAACTATGTAGCCACCACCTAGTACATGAAATAGAACAATACCAACCAGTATCCTAGAAGCCTGCTTTGACTATTTTAAACATATTTTTAAAAGCCATTTTGCTGTTTGCTTCATTTCATATATGCACACATAGCTACACATTTTCCTATAGAAAATTGGACACTCAACTACCAAGTACTTCAGCATGTATATTCTCTCAATCCTATTGTCACACTTAAGGTATTTAATATTGAGCAAGTAACATTGAGCAAATAGTAAGGAGCATTTGATATTAGTTTACATTAAATTTTCTCAACTCTTTTAAAGAATGTCCTTTATAGTTGCCTGTTTTTTCCTGCTACACCCAGACTCCAATCAAATTTCATACATTGCACTTGGGTATTGTTACTCTTTAGCTCCTTGAATTTAGGACCATTTGCCTTTTATTTTATTAAAGTCTTTCAAAATATGTTTTTGAAGAGCCCAGGACATTTCAACTGTAAACTTTCCTAATTTCTGAGAACTTCTGCTTTTGTTTCTTTGTGAAAACAAAAATTTTTGATAAGAATACTATATAGGAAATAGTATGTCTTCCAAGTTCATTTCCCCAAAAGGCACAAATGTCTTGTGTTTCCTTATTGGTAATGTCAGGTTTGATTACTTTTTAAAGTGGTATCTGCGAGACCTCTTGGTTGTAAGGGTACGTTTTTTTTCCCTCTATGTTATTTATTAAGTGCCTTCAAGTCGGTTCTGACTCATAACCAGCTGTTCTTTGAAAAGCCTATTTTTCTTTATAATTACAGAGAAATCTATGGGGTGATACTTGGGACATTGTGATAATATTATTTCCACAAGATTTTGTTCTACCCAGTAGTTTTTGTATTTATTAGTGTTCTTTCATTTGAAATTGGGGACTCTAGAATGGGATGGGGCAAGTGTTTTTTTTGTTGTTGTCTTCTAAATTTTATTTGTTGTTATTGGAAATATATATAAGAAAACATACCAATTAAATCGTTTCTACATGTACAGTTAAGTGACATTGATTACATTCTTTGGAGTTGTGCAACCATTCTCGCCTCACATTCTGAGTTGTTCTTCCCTCATCAGCATAACATTACTGCTCCTAAAGATTTTTATCTATTTTGAATTGCTATTGTCAAATTGATCCATATGGCTAGTGTTTAAAAGAACATTATGTTCAGGGTAGACATTTTTTTTTCATTATTATTTTTGAGGTACGCAAAACACACAGAAAACATGCATTCATTTGAACAACCAAATGGCACATTTTGTAAGCCATCTTCCTGCCTGCCGGCACATAGCCTTTTTCTTTCCATGGGTCAAGAGTCTTCATCTACTCTATATCTGTGCCATTGCCTCTGCTTCCATCTCTGGTGTCACTTTCTCTGGTTAGGATCCCATGTTCCGCTCATGCTCCTCCCTGTTGATGGTTCTAGGGTCTTTTGTTCCTGGAATGAAAGATTACTCCCCCATTTTTGTTATACATCTTCTAACTTTACAGTTGAGACGATTGCAATTATTCATGGTAACAATTACTTACTATTGAATCAAAAGAATTCTATCTTTTAACCCATCTAGACAAGATAAAAACTATTAAGTGGGGATTCTATCCTACCCTCCTCATTCTGAAAATAACCACACTCTCGAAAACTTGTAATCCAGCCACTTCATGTCTTTATAGTGCCCCCATTTTTGGTTGTTGTTGTTGTTAGGTGTCGGGGAGTTGGTACCAACTCATAGCGACCTTATGCACAGCAGAACGAAACACTGCCTGATCCTGGGCCAACCTCACTACTGTTGTAGCCAATGTCTAAGTTGCCCGTCTGTATCATCCCTGTGTACGGAGGGGATAGACTTGATCCTTGATGTGAAGAATCCTTCCCTCTTGGTTGGAATTTTAAGCAATTATTTCTATAAGCAAAGGTCAAGTTCATCATATTGTAGCAATTTATACTTGCTTCCTGTATCAAACTTCCTTATCTTCCTGTAGTCGAGTTCTGACCATCATGGTAGACCTATTTTATCTGTTGATCTAAACTGGGTAACTATGAGTCAGAATCAACTTGACAGCAATGGGTTTTTTAAATTGTTCAGTTTTAAAACTTCAGAAGATATTTTTGTTCAGAGATATCTCAGGGCAGTAGTTTCAGTGGTTATCCATCCTCCATAGCTCCAGAAAGTCTAGAGTTTGTTAGAATTTTAAATTCTGTTCTGCATTTTACCTCCCTTTGATCAAGATTCTTCTGTGGAATCTCTGATCAGAATGTTAAGTAATGGTAGACAGACACTCTCCGGTTCTTGTAGAGTCACATGTACCCAGTGTACACAGGTACACATGGCACAGTAGGCAGTTGTTCATGGAAGCAATTAACCACACATACCATATCCTCCTCCTATTCTTAACTCTCCTTCCTCTGTTGCTCCAGGTGAATAAAGACTAATTGTTGTACTTTGGATGGCCGCCTAAAAGCTTTTAAGACTCTAGGCACTACACAGTGATTTAGCAGGTAGACTAGAAGCAGCACTAAACACGTTATTAGGCCAATTAACTGGGATGTCCTGTGAAACCATGACCTTAAGCTACCAAATCAAGGAGCCAAATCTCGTGAGATACTTGATTGTACATAGCAGCTTCAGTACCTACTCTTTTTTTTTTTTAACTTTTTATTGTGAATTGAGTGAAGGTTTATAGGTTTATAGGCCAGATTATGAGTTTTACATTCAACAAATCATAAAGTTTGTTCATTTCAATAATTGCATTCCCCTCCATTGCAACAACAGTTATCCCACTGCCTCCCTGTGGTTTTGTTTATCCATTCTTCCATTGATGGGCTCTTAGGCTGTCTCCATCTTTTTGCTGTTATAACACTGTGATGAACATCGGTGCACATATATCTACTGATGTTCTGGCTCATGTTTCTTAGGATATATACCAAAGAGAGGGAATGCTGGTTATATGATACTTATATTTTCATCTTTGAGGAAGCACCGTACTGGTGGTTTCCAGAGTGGTTGAGCCATTTTATATTCCTAGTCCTGGTGTGGTGCTGTGGGTTAATGCGCCAGACTGCAAAGCCATTTGAACTGCAAGGTCAGTGGGTCAAGCTCACCAGCTGCTCCTTGGAAACCCTATATAGGGTCGCTATGGTTAGAACTGACTCAACGGCACTTAACAACAACCAATGTAGGAGGATCCCAGTCTCCCCATGGCCTTGCCAACACTTGTTGTTTTCTGTTTTATTCTTTAACTTTTGCTATTAATGCTGGTGTGAGATACCATCTCGTTGTTTTGATATGCATCTCTCAAATGGCTAATGATTGTCAACATTTATTTCGTCCTATGTTTGTTAACTGGAGTCCTGGTGTGGCGCTGTGGGTTAATGCGCCAGATTGCAAAGCCATATTAACTGCAAGGATGGTGGTTCAAACTCACCAGCTGCTCCTTGGAAACAGGGTTTTTATGGGTTGGAACCAACTCGACAGTACTTCACAACAACTATAATGTTTATTAACTGCCTGAATATCTTTTCTGGTGAAATGTCTATGCATGTCCTGTGCCATTTTAAAATTGTGTTGTGTTTTTCTTGTAGAAGAGTCGTAGATTTCTATAAATTTTAGAGATTACACCCTTGTCTGATAATGTTGCAAAATATTTTTTCCTAGTTTGTAGGCTCCCTTGTTACTCTCTTGACTAAATCTTTTGATAAATGTAAATGTCTGATTTTTTTAGGAGGTTCCAGTCATGTAGTTTGACTTCTACTATTCGTGTGTTTTTAGTAATGTTTGATAGTGTATTTTTATTCCATTGTCAATTTGTCCGTATTTTTTCATTGATGATCTTGGTAATCCTAGGTTTTACTTTTATATCTTTAATCCATGCTGAGTTTATTTTTGTATCAGCTGTGAAATGGGTCTGGTTTCATTTTTCTGCAAATGAATTTCCAATTTTCCAGCAACATTTATTAAAGAGATTTATCTCTTCCCCATTTAATGTGTTTTGGCGCTTTGTCAAAGACCAGCTGAATACCTGTAGATAGATTTACGGCTGGGTTTTGTCTGGGTTCTCTATTCTGTTTCATTGATGTATGTATTTTTCCTTGTACCAATACGAGGTTGTTTTGACTAATGTGGCTGTGTAGTAAATTTTGAGATAAGGGAATGACAGGCCTCCCAACTTTCTTCTTTAGCTGTGCTTTGTTTATCTAAGGTCTCTTTCCTATCCATATAAAGTTCATGATCTTTTTTCCAACTCTTTAAAAAATGATGTTGGAATCTGGATTGGGATTGCATTATATTTGTAGATTGCTTTGGGTAGCATTTCACAATGCTAAGTCTTCCTATCCATAGTATATTCTTTCCTTTTTGTAAGTCTCTTGGTTTCTCGTAGTAGTGCTTTGTAGTTTCCTTTGTATATGTTTTTTAATTTTGTGGTTAATTTTATCCCTAACTATTTCATTTATTGTAAATGGTATTGATTTCAAGAAAGTGAGGCAGCACAAGAGGCACTCACTCATCTCTGCCAAGAAATTTGGAAGACAACTATCTGGCCGA